TGGCATCCTTAGAATCCCCATTTCAGTGTTAGTTCTTTCACAGTATAAGAAACTTCAACTGCTATATGGAGAACAGTTTCAGACTCTTGCTTAGCTGTCTTTTGTCAGTGTCGGTATTTTGGAACTGTGAAAAAACTCCATGTTCTGTCCCATATGCTTTGACATTTGAATAGGAGTGAAAGTTTATTTAGAAAAAAATGAACTTGTGGGGTAGAAATTTCCTGATTGGTGATACTTGAAAACAAATGACTTTTTAAAAAATCGTGGAAAGTAGACCAATGTGAGAGCATCAATAAGAGTGTCTCTGTGCTGTCCATAAGGGAAGGAGTTTTCTGAGGGGTCATTTTGAGCGTTTCGTTCAGAAGTTTGTTCTATATCTGGTCTCTCATGTACGTAATCAGAAATTCACAAGTCTCTGCAGCATCTTTTGCAAGGATCTTGATAAATATCTAGCTGTATTTCAACGAATGCAGGAATTTTCTGAAAATGCTGTCTTTCAGCTTTTTACCTATGTTAAATTCATGAAATGCTTTTCTAGTGGCAAAATTCGTTTTCTTCCCTCTTTGCTAAATCTGCCTCTCTTCGTAGAAGATTCTTGGCTGATCACTGAAAATGTGAGGAATGGCTCTCCTACAGGCAAACAGTAAAACACAAAGAATATCGCTTAGCAGAAGGTCCTTTCTGAAGTCTGGGTGTGGAAGTCGTATTTTGTTAGCACCTTGAGGCAGGACAGTATCTTAGCACAAGTTCCCTGGGGCTGCTCACATCATTTCACTAATAAAGTGTCTAGCAGAGTTTTTTCCTAAAGGCTTCTTCATTTGAAGTAATTAAAGCTTTTTTTTTCTCCTGAAAATTCAGTAGCCAGAAGGCTCTGAGTGTGCAGAGGGGCTTCTAGAGATACTATTCTAAAATTGAAGGGAAGCAAAGAAGAGACATGTATTGCCTTACTGGCTACCAGACAAAACGTTGCATTTTAGAATATATACACCTTTTGAATATTATTGTGGCAGTCAAATGGCTTGAAGACTGGCATGTGACAAGGGGATGCCAATAAAAATGCATAATGATGTTTTATATATATGTATTGCATAGCTAGATGAGTATAGTATGACAGAAAGAAGCCACCAAGGCTTTTAGAAGAGTAAATGAGTGCTCTAAAACCTACTAGAATTCTTGTGACTGAATTAAAGACACTAGTAGGCTATCAGGGAGGTTCACACCACCTTTGAGTAAAATCCTTTGTAAGCAATGAGAAAAGCTTTGTCAAAGAGTGCAGCTGAATAGAAGTAAAAAAGAAGGGAACTAGCAGTTTCCAGAAGGAATGAGTTTGATCACTGACTGTTGCAGAGAAACACAAAGGAATTATTGGTTGATTTGCAACCTTGAAAAGTAAGGAAGCAGCTCTCTGTGTTGCAGCAGGATTAAAATGATCCAGCTTTATCCAAAGATTGGGAGTTTTCCAAGACTGCTAAAAGACTGTGGCTGAGATGAACAGTTTTTCTTAACCATATTTTTTTGCGTATAACTGGCTGTTGATGTAGCTGTGCACCTGTTATGTCTGTTATGCATGCAAGACTGTAAGATATAAATGCAGCAGCTAGGACAAGAGGTGGATGAGACTGGAAATTCCACATTGATGTAAATATCAAGAATAATCTGGAGTCACTGTATGGAGGAATTTACTCTTTTCTCCTTGTGCTGTAGGTGGGTGAATTTGCTCAATCTGCAAAAGTTGAAGAGAATTACATAATGAAAGAGAAATTTACACTAAAAATTGATGAAGCTGTGCAAAGGACCAACTTGTTCTACCTCTAAGAAAAAGCCAACAAAAGCTTCTTCAGTGTAGATAGCCAGGTTTGGGGGCAAGTTACGTTTTACTGCTGAATTCTTGCTTGCAGAATTCTCTTTCCCATTAGTCTGAACTGTGCACGGTTTTGTCAGTGGTTGGGCCAGACTGATAATTATGTTTGTTGAAAAAGGTACATAGTTCTGGAGATAGGTGCTTCCTAATTTGTTAAGGGCTTTAAAGATAAGTGATCTTAAAGTAAATTTGCTTTCAGAGGAATAGGCAGTAGAGTGCTCGGAGCACTGGCAAAGTGAGCTCTTGTCAGGTTTTCTCAGAGTGATGTATGCTGCATATTCCATCCATTGACATGATATTTGACATCAGCAGTTCCAGCTTCTTAATAGCTTTTATGGTAGTGGTTGTAAATTACTGCAGTCCGATTTTATTACTGTTTTGTATCTACCGAGGGCTGTGTCCTTTTTGTAGCTTTGCATTAGCTCACTGAGCACCATTAAAATATTGACATTTGGTCTCATTTTGGTAGCATCAGTAGCATTTTATCACGCATCAATGCAGTAGTTTGAAGTGACAAGCATGTTCCCTTTTTCTAAAAGCAGGAGAAAAATTATTTTATATTTCTACCCTTTTGCAATCCATGACTGGTAAAAAAGAAAGAAACAAACAAAAGCCCTCATAAATGTTTTGTTCTGGGAACATCTAGCTCTTTACAGCAACAGAACAGGTAAGAATCAGCCGCCTTTATAGGCCTCACTGGGAACTCTTGGAAGCATCAACTTGGAAAATCAGCCTTTGAAGTTCCAGTGTGAACACCTACAACCAGGACTCTGACTTTGAAACCATATTTTAATATATAGCAAGAGTCCTCCTAATGTGCAATAAAAGCTAAAATCTTCTGCATTTCCGTATGCTGAAGGGCTTAAATGAAACACAGAAATGCCATACATGATTCAGTAGCAGAAACAAGTTTACAGCACCCATGTCTTATTTGGATTGTATCAGTGTAAGAACCTGTGATTTTGTTTTCTGAGAAGGGCGCCACTAGATCATTAACTGTAATAGAAGGGGATGGCAGCCTTTCTTGAGCTGCTGCTGAGATCTTATTTTGTGAAATATAAGCTGGAAATTGGCACTTGCTTTAAATGTATAATTTTCTACCTTTCTCTTCAAGTTCAAGGGTGAGGCAAAACTGTTCAGACTAAGCAGAGAAAAAGGTTTTCTCGCTCTCCTTTGTTTTATTGGTTCTCTGACCCATTCATCCTTTTCAAAGTAAATTTATTCCTCTAATTAAATATAAGATGAACCATGTTGGCAGAGAGGCAAGTGTAGGACTTGGAGAAGGTATATGAAAGGAACACACAGAAGTTTTGTGTGGTAAACATGTAGATTTTTTGTGTGGAAGTAAAAATTATCATAACACATACTGAGCTGGAAAGGACCAATGAGGTCCATGGAGTCCAACTCCTGGCTCTACACAGAAAACTGCCCAGAATTCAAACCCTGTATTTAAGAGCATTGTCCAAATGCATCTTGAATTCTGACAGCTTGAGGCTGCAAGCCGGAGAATGCCTGACATCCCAACCTTCCTCTGGTGCAGTTCCATGCTCTTCTCTCAGATCCTGTTGTCACCAGAAAGTTCAGTGCCTGCCCCTCTGCTCACCTCGTGAGGAAGCTGTAGGCTGCCATCACGCCTCCCCTCACTCTCCTCGTCTTTGAGCTGAACAGTGACCTCAGCCGCTCCTCATGCGTGTTGCCCTCTAGACCATTCCCTATCTTTGTAGTCCTCCTTTGAATGCTGTAATAGTTTTATGTCCTTATATTTTGGCACCTAAAACTGCACACAGTGTTCGAGGTGTGGCTGCACCTGCACTGAACAAAGAGGGACAGTACCTGCTCTCACCTGGCTAGCAGTGCTAGGCCTGATGTAGCCCGGGCATCTAAGTCTTCAGTACTGCATCTCTACACTACTGGAGAACATTACTGTTACTTCTGTTTTGCAGGTAAGGGAACTAGGGAATAGAAGACATCACTGGGGGAACCCTAAAAGTGATATACAAAATAGTAACACTCCAGTGTCCTGGTCCTCACTTCTTGCTGCTGTTTATGACTTTAAGTATTGTCTCTTCCCCACCCTCATCCAAACGTGTTCCTTTACATTCAAGAATTTCAGCACCTTTATTTGCCCTAAGTTCTGGCTTAAGCTTTACCTTACCTTTACCAGCCCTTGCCATACCTTTATCCTTTCTGCCTCCTGCTCAAAAGCCTGCAAGACTTTATAGTGATGAGGGTTTTCTTTTTTCAGTTGCCGTAGCTTCACATGACCTAATATTACTTCATTAATCTGATTGTTTAAGGATATGAAGCTCCAGAAGAAACTGGTACCCCTATATGATAATTAGGAAGTTATATAACACAATCCCAGCAGAAGGAACTGTAATAAGGGTGTGTATTTACTCTTCAAAGCCATATTGTGCAGTATTTTAACTTTCTATTTGTAGATTTATTTTGGTTCTTCGCAGTGGACATACTGCTAGGGCAGGATGCTTTTGGATCTGGTTCAGACTAATGGAGTTCAGGTCACCAGGAAAACCAGTGAGACTTTTCTCTGTGATGTCACTTAGATAACATGGGCTAAAGTTTGCTTTTGCTTTTGCTAACCTTGATTTTAAGCTCCTTGGTCTTGACCTTTTGTTCTGCATTTGTCAAGCATCTGCCACAGTGGATGTACCATGATGATTAGAGCTTCTAGATGATAGGAAAATGTACATACAAAAGCCACTGATATCCCTAAGAGTTCTGCATTCCGCTGGGGAATGGATTATTGAACCTAAATTAGAAACAACTTCAGAGCTAGCCAAATCCTTCCGTTAGCAGAGGACATGGCAAAACTAATATCAGCTAATGCTGTATCCAGGTGACACCTACAAGCAGGAGATTAAATGGTGGAGCTGTACTGATGGGCATTCCTGTTAAGTGTAGCCTTCAGTGTATGACAGTCTCTTGTAAATGAAAAGTTTGTCAGTAAAAACTTGCAAAGTAAAGGGTATCTAATGACATTCTGGAAGCTTCTTTATCTTGAAAAAGATGAAACTTAAGAAGCAAGAAAATGAGTTTCTCTGTGACTAAAATGCAGCAAAAAGAAGAGGAGGGGAAAAATCCGTATTCTTACTAATTGGACTCAACATTTATCTTACAGGAAAGTTGAAGTTTTGCCTTCTGATTCTGAACCAGCCTTTCGACAGAAGTCGTTTTCATTGCCTGTGGAGCAAAGGTAAGAATAACTTACATATACATATACATATATATAATTTGCTAATTTACTTGATTGCTACCCAGCTAATAAACTTAATGTCTGTTGAATTGCATTGTGGCGATATCCTCTAAGGAAGGACAACCTTCCAGTAAGGGTGTGGATTGGCAGAATGTGTCCCTTGTTGCTGAATGCAGTGAGTGAGCTGATGCAAATTCTGTATTTGCATCTTCTCTGTATTGCTTACATCAGTGGGAAGTTTATGAGCTGCTCTGTGAAAGGTTCTGTAGCTTTTCAGAGGCATGTGAGGAATGATCGTTGTTTTGATGACAAAGTATAGTATATCAGTGGTGCATTTAAGTGTCTGGAAGAAAGCATTCTTTAAAGGTCATCAGTGAAAGATGTAACTCTTAATCAAAATAAAATGAAGTATATTGATATTATGTTGTAAAATGTGAGGATTTGCGTGCGTGCCAGAAATAATGCAAATCAAATGTCACTACCCTTTTGCTTAATGTGCAGTGCTAGTCATCGTCTCTGGCATGATAGCTGCAGATTTACTGACATTGTGTGGGAAGAAATAAATCTTAAAAAAACTGGAGCTATTAATTTCTCCAGTGCAAAAATGCAGTCCTTCACGACTTTGTGTCAAACGACAGGAAACTTCTCTAACTTGTTACCAGTCTGGAGACCTTGCAGAGGGATTCCTTCTAACTAACTAGGGCAGTTAGAGCTGTTTGATTTCGTTGTAGGCAGGAAGGAATTGGAGTAAGATATGAAGTTAGGAAGATGTATTCATGCCATCTAATTCCAGCAAAGCCTAAGTAGGTGCCTGTCTAGACACAGAAAGGAGAAAAGAAAGGAGAATTGCACAGGATGATTCAAAGCTTCTGAATGAGTGCTGTACCCCAGACAGGCTGGTCTTGACCTGCACTGTCCTCCACTCAGTGAAAGGACAGTCACATGTATTTGAGGAATGTTCAAGGTGTGATTTTAGGTATTTTTTTACTTGAGAAGATGCACTGAAATTACATATTCTGTCTTAAATGCTGAAAGAAGGAAGAATTTTTTGACCTCATTAATTTGTCCCAGCTTCCCTCCCTTCCTGTTTTGAGGGCTGAGGTTGGAAAACAGACAGCAAACCATACTAGTCATAGAATGGTAGTATTTCTGTGCTCTGTTTTGTTAAACCAGACTTTTTTTTGTCTGTCCTTTGGAGTCCCCTTGCCATCAAACTTGTGCAGTATGGAGTGCTTCTTAGTGTAACACTAATGGATACTAAACCATAGTAGTTCAGTGAGGGATTGGGATGAGAAGCTGAATAAAATTGGGCGGACTACAGAATGTCTTGCTTGAGTTTACTGCCATGCGTTCCTGTCCTCTGAGCATATCTGCATTGGAAGTCTACTGGTCATGGGTATAGTTTTTTCAAAGTGTCTGGAAAAGTTAGGAGCAGAAGTCCTACTTAAGCTGGTAGAACTTTTGCTGGCAGGTTGCCTCAAGAGAGAGGTGGACATTTTCTGTCAAAGGAAAAATGAAAAAGGAAGGTAGTAACATAGTGAACCTAAAATGTTTTTTTTTTTTAAAAGACATCTTAGCTTTAGTAACTAAGCCTCAGCTTTGAATCCATGGCAAAATTCTGTTCATATCTGACTAGCCGATTACTGGAGGTGTCAGCAATCGTGTGCCTCCTGACATACTGACCTGCTTTGAAAAGTAGTATTTCAATCTGTGCAAACGTGCATGAGCTTCCTGTCCTAGAGTTATCTCCATCTGCGGCTGTGACAGAGGACAGTGGCCCACAGGCCTGGAAAAGAAGGAAAGAGAGAAAAAAACATTTACGGTTTATAGGCCAAGCTGGGCCAGCCTTGTGACTAATGAGACTGCACCCTGGGAGAGGGGAGAAGGAGAAAGGAAGCGAGATAGAAGATGGGTCCAAAAACAGAGCAGTGGCAACAATCTGAGGAGAAACATTAATGTACTAAATGTGATCTCAGAATGCAAGATAATACAATACAGCACAGTGCAATTGGAATTGAGGCCAACAAATCAAACAAAATATGAGGAAGAGAGTGTCCAGTTGACAGGCTACATCCTCTTAGTTTTGTATCAGGTACAGTCATCAACTCCTAATATTAGATAGCACTGTCCTAAAGGCAGGATGGATTAAATGTTGGAGAAGGATATTATGCAAAAGCGGAGAGCAGAGTAAAGTGGTAGAAAACCCCCGTGGTTTTACTGGAGGATTTATTCTGTCAGGTGTAGTAGAGAAATTGAAGACAGCATGTTACTAAGGGGGAACAGGTGAAGGAAAATAGTCTCATGATAAGTGAAGCTGATATGAAGAAACTGAATGCAGGAAGATGAGTCAGATAAAGAAGATTGAGAGTAGACTGCGAATAAACAAGTCTTGGGAGCATCAGTCAAGTCCTTCAGAAGTTCTCTGATTGTATCTATTAGTGTAGCCATTCTTAGTGATGGAAATTGTAAGACTTTTCTCACAGTCCTTATCCTCACAGTGGAAAATATGTGGAAGAGACTGGGCTCTTAATAATTTGTCCCATGGAGGTGTGCATTTTTGTGTCTAGGAGGAGCCTATAAGGAAGACATGATTCAGTGAGGCCTTACCTTCATCCTATCCTGATCATCACTGCTTGTGTCCAGTAGAGTGAAGGAGGTGATTGTCCCTCTACTTGGCCCTCATGAGGTCCCATGTGGAATACTGTGTCCAGTTCTAGGGACCTGAACTTTGGAAAGATGTGGAGGTTTTGGAGAGGGTCCAGAGGAGGACCACAAGGGTAATCAGAGGGTGGCTGGAGCACCTCTCATGAAAATTCGCTGGGGAACCTTGGCTTGTTCAGTCTGGAGAAGAGAAGGCTCCAGGGAGACCTCATTGCAGCCTTCCAAAATTTGAAAGATTATGATCAGGAGGGAAATCAACTTCTTACATGGGTAGATAGTGATAGGACAAGGGGTAATGATTTTAAATTGAAGGAAGCGTGAGTTTAGATTAGATATTAGGGGGAAGTTCTTCCGCAGAGAGGATGTTGAGGTGCTGTAACAGGCTGCCTGGAGAGGTTGTGGATGCCCCGTCCCTGGCAGTGTTCGAGGTTATGGTGGATTGGACCCAGGGCAACTTAAGACTAGTGGTTGGCAGCCCTGCCTACTTCAGAGGGGTTGGGACTGTATCATCTTTGATGTCCCTTCCAACCCAAGGCATTCTGTGATTCTATTTCAGTAGCATTTGTAGATTCTGATTTATTTCCTTATTCCCAAAAAAATTGTAAGGGAAAAGTATCTTGCTTACATTTGTTTGTAGTGGTACTTTGTAAGTGGTTCTAAATGTAAATACATCTTTAACTGAGATTGCTTTGTTGTATTTCTGACATTGTTTCTGTGTTAAGTTGGAAAATACTGAAGCCCATGTTTTAGTAGCTGAAAAAAGGTAAGTTTTATGGAGAGTAAATGAAAGTTCGCAAGATTTTGCATCTGCTCTTTAAATTTTTTTAATTAAAAAAAAGCAATTACTTATGCCAGGAATTTCATCATTGTCTATTAATGGCAAGTTTACCTGTGGTTTTTTTTTTTTTTTTTCAATGTCTCCCTAGTAAAGTAAGGGGCAGTATTACTACAATGCTAAGACCTCTTCTGTGTAAGATTTTTCTCAAGTTCAGGATCTGAATCTGTATCTTGTTTCTGAAAGCACTGCCCTTAAAAGCTGTGGTACTCAGATGGTCCAGAGATGGCTGCATGTCCTCACTTGATAGCAGAATACTAGTTGGCTTTGTGCCGTGGTGTACTTTCCATTTTTGAAATGCTGACAGAGGTAACTGTAAACACAAAAAGTTATACTTTGAAAAATGAAATTATTTCAAGAATTGTAGTAATATGACAATGTTCTACAGCAATCTGATGAAGCGCCCATCCATGCTGTATTTCCAGAAATAGTAGAGTGCTGTTAAATAGCATCTTCAATTTCCTAGTGGGGAATGATATATTACAGTAGTTTTTTTCCTTAGGTTTCATTTAACCTCTGGCTGAATGTTCTTTTGTCCATGGGTTTACTGCTAAATCCAGCTACAGAATTAAAATATTGGTTAGTCTAATGCTGCTTAACTGAAGAACAAGGCTATTAGACTTGTGCATTGTGATAAGAAGACTTGTCCATGGGTATTTTTCAATCAACAGCTGTGACACATTAGCCACTGTGCCTTCCTCAAAAGAACAATCTTTTTCTGCTCATAAATATTGTCTAAGAAAGTTTTAAATCAAACAGAATGTTAGCCATTGTCTTGCTCCAATTTGTAGGAGGAGAGGAGGTTCTTTGATATGTATATACCTGGCATGACATTAAGAAGCAACGGTTCAAATGTTTATTACAGATCTTAATCAGGGATATGGAGAAGGGCAGAATGATGACTATTACGAATTAGGATGATGAGGAAGGGCAGGTGGGAGATAGAAAAGATAGGAAAGAAGCAAGAATTGCATGAAGCGGGGATAGTCACCACCAGGATCCAGCAGTGTCCCGTTGCATGACGTTTTGAAGGTCTGAGGCAAAAGCAGCAGAAGGAGAGCAGCAGCAGTGTGGCGGCCTTGGGCAGCAAGCAGGCAGCAGGAAGAAGTGGCAGGTAAGTCCAGGAGGAAGCAGCAGGACTCGGGTGGCAGGCCCAGGAGAGTCCGTCAGCATGCAGGCTTGTGAGGCTTTTGATGGCAGACACCTTCTTGTTCTTAAGCCTGCAGGTCATGAGGAATTTGTTGTCAGGAAACCTCTTCTTCTTCGTGAGGAATCTGTTGTCAGAAACCTAATCTCATGGCTGTAGGTTCCCTTTTTATCCTTCTTCTGGCAGCATGGCATTCCTGGATGCTTGGGTAAGTCATGTGCCGTACGCCCTGAGATGGCCATCTTCCTCGAGATAAGCCCACAGAAAAGGCTGCTTCCTGGCTGTTAATCTCTGGCTTATCACTCTCTCATTGCCCCTGGCCTTGTCCATCTGTGTCCCTCAGACAGACGATTTCTG